TTTTCAATTTCAATTCCATAAAGTTATCGATATCCAAGGCCACGGACTAGGAAAAATACTTGGCTTCAGATAGGGTTTTCTAGTCTATTCCCCATATCATAATCCCTGAACAACCCGCCGATGATATGTACGGTCAATTTCTGATAAAATAAAATAGCATTAGATGAGTCATTACACATTCATGCAAAATTTAAATTACTACAATAATATGTTTTATTAATAATTTATTACGGTAGTGAAAATAGAAAATTTTAGATTTATGTTATAAAGTTCATTTGGAAATGGTGTGAAGAACAAATATCATTAAGATCATGCGTTATGTTATGCCTTTTGAAACTATTACAAACACATTCAGGTTAAATAAATTTATAATTAATATTATAAACTGTTTGGGATAGACTACTCAGATATAGTATTTTATTTAGAAATACATTAATAGATAGAATAGATAGAAATATAGGTAAGGCATAATATGTTACTTGAGTATGTAAGTCGAATTAGATGTGATTATATAACTACAAGTTTATTAACTAGCTAATTTTTTAATATTGAAAATGTTATAGCTGATATTGTAATTACTGAAATTGGTCAGTGCTGAAAATTAGAGAAATCCCACCAAGATTTTGTGAAATTTTGAATAATTCAGTAATAGAAATAAACATGGGATAAGAGATTCATCAAGATGATGTTACTATTTTAATTTTTGTATTTTTTGAAAGAAAATTTTAGTAATTAGGATCTGTATCGTTTCACTGACACTAATTTCACTGACATATCGTTTCACTGACAATCAATTCAATGACAAGTTCATTTCTCTGACAATTATTTCACCGACAACTAACCCTAAATCTGACCCTAACGACAATGACCAGAATTCCTTTGTGAAATAATTGTCGGTGAAATTAACTTGGCGATGAATTGATTATTGGTGAAATGACGTGTTGGTAAAGTGAGTGTCGGTGAAGTAAATAGAACCCAGTAAGGATTACTGTTAACATTACAATTATAGTTATGATGTCGATTACGATTTAGAATAATTATCAGCATAGTATATGAAAATACGAGGACTTTTTTCTAATTTGCTCGAATAGATTTTACTAAAAAAGTGCACCCATCGCAATCTTCGATGAGAACTTCATAGGAATCTATTCTGTTACAAGTCACCAATTGGTTTACATTATTATTCATAGAAATGCAAACTACTTTTGATAGGAACAAACTCAAACTCATAATTATATTAAGAAAGCAAATGAGAATAAGTTCACAAAATATGTATATACAGTCAACCTTCATTAATATCAACCCATTTGGGTTAGACAATTATGTTGATATATACGAAGCTTGATAACAACGGGATAGTTTTTATATAGCCTGTACCTATTTTTTTTTTAGAAGAGGTTGATATTAACGAGAGGTTGATATTAACAAGGTTGATATTAATGAGAGTTGACTGTATATTATATTGTGCTTCAGATTAACGCTTGCGTCAGATGTCAGAATTCTGTTAATTCTGGTCAAATGACCTGACATCTGAAACAAGCGTTAATCATCCAAAACAAAATAAGTAAATAAATGGCGTTTATTACTAAACTTGAATCCATAGTAAATCCATTTATTATAATATATAGATCAAACCTTCATCTACAAACAATAGATCTATACACCCAAATTTAAGCATTGAACCTAATCATTTCCACTATCAAGCTTATATCTACAGCAAAACCTAATCCGAGTTTTTAAACTCAAAAAAAAAAAAAAAATCATATTAGATTATTAAAATTATTTGGAAAAGTCAAAAGAAGTTTTTTGATTACGATTGTCATAGAAGTTTACCATAAAGTTAGTAGTTCGATATCAAACTAGACTATTGTTTTGAATACAGCATGATAAACCAATCTCTGATAAAAACATTCCCGAGTGTCTTTTTTTTGAACAGTTGGCTGCGACGGATTTGTGGAATTTGACCTTTTTAAATACCTGAATTTATAAACACAGATCCTTATTTGATATTTCAATTTATATAAAGAATCTTAAAAATTAGATCTATCTAGTTAAATTTGGTGACAACTAGCCAAAAAGAATCGTTTCCAGAGTTACAAATGTAAAATGCATGTATCATTTAAACATTTTGATTCCGTAAAATTTTCACAATCATTTATAGGTGATAGATATTAGATTAACATATGGTGGTTATGACTATCTTGCCTTGAAGACTTTTGTTAAACGAGGAGGCGTTTATTCTGTGGGCAATCATTTTGGTGTTGGAAAGGAATCAGGCAAGAAAAACTTCAATTTGTAAATGATTCAAATGAATTACTTATTAATTCAAGTTTTATCCATACGGATATATACATTATTGCAGAAGAAAATGAAAATCAATTTGCCTTAAAATACACAGGTATATACAAATTTTTATAACATCCCATTTTTAAAATGCTCACTAATTATAAATTATTTAAAATGCTCACTAATTATAAATTATTTTAAAACGCTCACTAATTATAAATTATTTTAAAATGTTCACTAACTATAAACTATTTATTAGGCTTGGCAATCTCATTTCGAGCAATAAAATTGAAACGTTATTGTCTTCAAAAACGAACTCAACATCTATCTTGGATGTAATGCAGCTATGAATAATATGCATTTATGAAGGTAAATTACGGTGACGCTCATACCATTCAGTACAAGGAAAAAATAGGATTTATTTAATTAAATTTTATATGAAAATAAATTTCCAGTTCCAGAGCCAATCGACAATGTCCGGAATTGTGTAATGACGGAACTAGTTATTTAGCTTGTATAGGCGACAGATAACTGAGATTCAGGCCGATTCTATTCTTATCTGATGAATTTAATAGTTAGGCTAAATTTTTAGCCCAACACGGTCTTATTCATGGAGATTTCAGCGAGTCAATATCCTTGTGAAAGAAAATGGGAACCTTTGTTAATTGATTTCCCGTAAATGATATCCACTTCGCATCCTGATGCAGAATGGTTAGCTTATACGAATAGTGTGATTTGTAATTGCTCAATTATTAAAATTAACACTGCCAATTGGCTAGGTATTTTAACCATGACGTAGTATGTATTCGCACTTTTTTTAGAGGAGGTTCAATTACGAAAGTACGTTGTATTCAAAATTTAAGTTTGATGTAAGCCGAGAATTCAGCTTGGATGTACAGATTGCCGCAAGTGGATTTACTAAACAATGTCAACAGGAATTGGAATCGGCATTTAATAGATATATTAATTATTTGTCAATATAATTATACAATATAGCAAGTAAAATCATTCATCAATTTTCTGTTTTCATTAGTATCAATTAGAATTAGGAGAATACCCAAAGTCTGATAGTGAACAAGAACTTGATGAGAGCACTTAGACGAATCTGCTGAGACTGAGAGCAACCCTATGAAAAATACCAATGTTAGTAATCTGCTTTTTTGATATAGTTTGCATTTCTATATACATATATTTTTTATTATATTTTTTATTAATGTTGATTGCTTTGTGACAAAACGTTTAATTTCAGCCGGTGAATACCGATTCTGAAGATATTTCAGCAGATATGGAATCAATCTCAGTAGAAGATAATCATGATGTAAATTCTGATATTGATACAGAGCCTTTAGACAATCGTAATTACAAAATTTACGAGAGTATTAAAAGGCCCTTAAATTCCACAAACAGATTCAGACATAAAAGAACGTGTTGCAAGATCATTAAAAAAGACATCAAAAAACAAAACCAAAAACAAGCAGCACTCTACAAGAAACAATATTAAAGTCAAAGAAAAAAGAAGGGTTAGAGATATAGCAAAATACGATGGGGAATCGGGTAATTTTGAAAGCAAAATGGACTTGTGTACAACAGATCTTAATAGTGCATCCAGTAAGTTAATAACAAATTTTATTTAACAATTATATTTACGGTTTATGGATTTCATGTATAGTCATCTTTCTCTATACTAAACCTCTATATACAAATTCGGGTAATAGCTAATTAAAAGTTCAGAACGATTAATTTATACAATTGGTACTGTCTAAATGCTTATGACTCAGAATTGGGATACCTGGCCCTAGGGTTCTTGAATGGATTATCCGGCTTGATGATATATGATTTATTGCTTAGTATTGTATCCGGTGTCTATTATGTAGCGATAACGAATACAAATAAAAAAATGTATGTTTTATTATACAAATATAGATACGTGTGTGAACAGGCACGAATTTTCAAAATTGACTACAGTATACCCTCTCAGATCCGATATGCATGGTGGACGGCTTTTGTATCGGTTTTGAGAGGTTATCGGATTTAAAATACTAGGCTAATGCGTAGCATTGTGTGTCCGGAGCACATGACGATCATCGTATAACAACAGGGGGAAATGTCACATCATTTGCAGATCCGTTACACAATTCATAAAGAACTTTTTTATATTGTTTTAAAGTACTTTTTCGGAAAGC